AGGTCAGTGTAAAAAACAATATCGATTTATAGCGTTCACAGTACACACATTCATCGCATTGCAAAAAAAAACAGGAGAGAGAGAGAGAGAGAGAGAGAGAGAGAAGAAAAATAAACCCGAATAGAGCGAGAAAAAAAGAACGAGTATAAAAACGTACAACAAGCCAATAAAGCACTACAGCTCTTTTTTCCCAGCGCAAAGTCTGCCAGGCGTGAAAACGACTTCGCGGGTGGCGCAAAGAACTCCAACAGTTCGTCATAATTAACGCATTACATATACTGTGCACGGTAGCTCGGGCGTTATAATCTCTGCTCTCGCATAGCGACTATCGTGTGCGCAATATAAAAGCGTTTTGGCGCTGGCTAATTTGCCGTGAACAAGAAAAAAAGATAAGAAAAAAGAATGAAAAATGATGTCCAATTCCGTTGGCAAAGTGTCGGTTAGATCATTATTTCGGTGGAATTAGCAGAAAAGCACGGCTCTCGGAGGAAATAAAAAAGTTTGTTTTAAGAGTCGCACAACCTCTCTGTCTCTCTAGCGTGCATAATACTCGAGGAGAGAGAAAGAAGAAAAAGCGCATGCGCGTGGTTAACGAATATTCCACGTAGGAGCGAATCACGAAAATCTAATAATTCGAGAAGCTCGAGCGAGAAAGAGAAAACGCTTTCCATCTGGATGATGAAGGGTAGCTTGCAAGCGTGGAAAGCTTTTGACGCTGGATATCTGCCGTAGAAAGCGTGCAGCGTAGGAATAAAGTGTAAAACGGAAAGAGAGCCAATCTCTCTTTACGCTTACGCCACTCTTGTTTCCGCATCAGTTAATATTGCCAGGATATCCTGGCGTCAATCAAGAAGTATATATATATATATATATATACCATCTCTTCTCACTTTAATTTTCACACGTCGCTAGCCGTGCCGATTTTCTCTTCACCAAACTCTATGTATTGGCTCGCTCCTTATGGATCGCCGAGTTTTCGAATTGCTGCGGTATATACTTTTAAAGTTATCGCGACTTTCTTTCTTTTTTCCAAAGTAAAACGAGTTTCACCGATGCAGATTTGACTGCTGGGCTTTGAATTTTCTGCAAATCCCAGCTTTTATTTGATGAGATGGAATTCCAAATCAGCGAGCTTTTCTTCAGATTCGATCGAGGTCACATAACTTTTTTTTAGATAAACTGCAGTTGCGTCATCGGCAATTTTATTTCCGATCGGTCGACATACATTGATTGCTAACCCACATTATATCGTTGTCGCATTAGCCGCAGCTCAGAGATAGCTTGTTGCAATGCGATTATCGATCAATCTCTTCATTACATTGACGCAATTCAAGATAATTATAATTTCATTATTTGCCGGGAATGTGCTCGAAAAGCAGAAGCCGGATTAACGTAACTCGATTATGCAACGACGAAGAAAGCAACGCTGAGCTGTATTTATTTATTCGTTTATTTTTCTTTTACGCCAACCGGAACGCAGTCAAAGCGTTAGCGAATTATAAGAAAACGCTCGCGAACGTTTGGCGGTGCAATTGTTACGATCGCATAATTAATCAGATTAATTTTTTAATTAGAAGCAATTTCACCCTGCCTCCACACTTCAATATGCGCAATCTCTTAATTGCGTTTTCTCACTGGGCTTCCACCTAATAACCTCGCGTTCCATCCGAAGTCCTTTTCGTCAGGAGCACGGAACGGAGAGAAAAATCCATGCATTAATTACTCAATAATATTCCACTCACTGCCGACGTGATTTATATTCCAGTCGACGTAACTCTGACACACAGACAGGGGCATACCTATACGCACTCGCGCTCAAGGGAATCAAATCAAGCGTAAGCTTTTTCCCTCAGTTTTCCCGGCGCGGCGCATAGGGGCTCATCCGGCGCGGATCGATCATAGGAAGTCTCGCCTCATTCGCTCCTGCCCTTCCGAGCCCCCCTTTCTCTCCTCGTACTTCCATTATGATATATATATATATATATATATATATATATATATATAGATATATATAAATATATATCTCTCATTGCTTTTAATAGCTCGACATATATGCCGTGGCAAGTGAAAAGTCATTCTTTCGCCATCTATTCTCGGAATCTTGAGCTATTATTAAAGTGGCTATTTTTCCGCGAAAGCTCAGATTAATAAGAGAGCCCTTTGCTCGAGATAAGCTTGCGACTGGCAGCTGCTTGCCTCGTGCTGCGACTTACAAGAGACCAATTTTTTTCACTTGATTTTTTTCACTTTCATAAAAGTTGATTTCAAACTTGTTGACTGTGCCTATAAACGACGCTTCATTGCTCTACAGCTTTCATTTTAATGCCATGCTGGTTGTTTTATTTTATCTGCTTTTATGCTTTCGCTGCAATCGATTTTTTTTCGTTTGGATGCAACAATGACAAAGTTATATATTCATGTTGTTCGAAGTGGGCTTTAAATTTAACTGTAAATTAGTTATATAAGTAAATGAAATTGTTAAAATGTTGAAAAAGAGTTTGATACAATTTTTCAAATCATTTATATTTTCAAAGGTTACGCATAATATAGAATATGAATTTGTTTGATTGTTCGGTAATATCGAGCTCGTATTTTAAATGAAATTGAAGAAAATGAAACGAAAGCGTGGGTCGTTAAATCTCGAGATTTAACCGTACGACGATGGCGGTGGTTTCTTTACAAAGCGCATCAAGTAGTAAGTGCCAGAGTGCAGTCAGACTCTGACACCTATACCAAGGTTATTTCTATTTCTTCCTTTTTTTAATGAATGAGATACGTACGTTTCACGGAATTGCCACGAGCGCAAAGTGATGACGAATAAAAGAACGAACCTGCGAGTACATCTCGAGCTTGAGGGCAGTAAAGTATATAGCTCACCACAAGCGCGACCACTTAAGAAACGATTTTCTCTGCGATAATCCACAGCCACCGTTAAAAAGATAACAACAAAAAAGATCTCGAGTATATAGGCTCGCTGGCTACGACGCGACGGAAGAGCAAAGAGCAAGCACGAGATCGCAGCGACGTTCGCGCCTAACGAGCTTCTCGCGAGAGCTTTCATCGCACGTATCGCTCGTGCTGAAGTATTTTTCTCGAGTTCCGAGAATGCGCATCGACCTCGCGGCAATAAATTTGTTTTCCTTTTCCTCTCGTTTCATTAATTAAATTTCACGTTTCAGCCGTCAAGAACGCGATATTACTTTTTGACGTTTATCAATTATTTTCGACACATCCCATTTGTTTCCACCGTTCGCGAGCGGTACACTAGCTGCGAGGGTAAAATGAATATTCGGAAAACCTATTGGCGAAACGCCCTCGAGTTTTAATCCAAATTTATGTGCACTCGATATCAATCCGCGAGTTCGCGCGCGTATGCGTGTTCGTTCTTTCAATATAAGCTGATATTTCGTTCATTAACGGGTCCCATTTAACCGAGTTCTATTAACCCCCCGAGCTTATTATATTCGAGTGTAATTATCATCGAACCATTTTATTGTCGCGTTCACTTAACAAACAAACCTCTCTTCTTTCTTAAGAGAGAAAAGAAAATCCTTTTCAATATGACAAAAAGAAAAAGGACAATGATTGTCGCTGAAAAAGAAAAGCAGGAGAGGGAAAATTCACAGTAGCAGCAGCAGCAGCAGCAGCAGCAGCAAGTACGACGAGCAAGAGAAATGTGACTAACGTGGCGAAGAATGCGGTAATGAAGCCCCGCGCACCGTACACTATTTGATTGTCGCGGTGGAAATTCATGCGAGCCCGGCTCTCGGCAGCGGCGGCAGCGGCGGCAGCGGCCCCGGGGTGCTTATTCGATTGTCTCATATTTCGATTGTTGGAGGCTCGCGCGCGCTAATGAAGCGCTCGGCGGCGCCGCCAGTATGCAATTGCGAGCGCGCACTCGCGCCCTCCACAGTCTGCACGATTTTTTTCCGCGCGCGCCCACGTTCTTTTGTCCTCGCCAACTCGCTTCGTGAATATTGCGCGATCCTCTATTAACTTTTGCTCTCGCTTTCAGTCGGTTTCTCTCTCTCTCTCTCTCTTCTTCTGGTTTTTTTTTCGTCTTATCGACGCACATGGCTGCTTGACCAATTCCTTACTTAAGACTTGATTGGGGTTCGCAAAAAGTTTGTAAAAAAAAAGGAAAAGAGCAAGATGAAGTCAACATAGAGGCTCAAGTAGCCCAGAAAGAAGAACGACCTACGTAATCGCGAGTGGAGTGAGCTTTAGCTCGGTCGACGCGAGGAAAAGGGACGCTTTCAATTGTGAGCTCCGTCTTGCGTATCCCTTTTACTTCGGGAGAGCGCGTACGTTTGTACGTCAGCACCCACGCACGGTTCTCATAAATTTTTCCCTGTCTCGCTAGGCGTAATCGCATCAAAGGAAAATTTCTCCGCTGCTGCTCGCGAGTAAATATGTATATCATGGACGTGTTTAATATTTGTCTCTCTTTCGCTAACTCCGTTGCACGCGTTGAAGAGAGAAATCCTGAGAATCCATTTAATAATGCACGTGCGTACGCCCTCGCGGCTAATGTAAGCCAGCAAACTTTGGAATATTAGTGTATTCCAACATTAATATCGGATGAATATTGCAAGGGCTTTGTTTACGTGCTCGCGCGCAACTGCATTATTACGAAAGCAGTAAACATAATAAGCCCGGATATATATAGTTTTATTTAGACTATTGTCTTTGCTCAAACATTTTTTCGTGTACACACACCGACATGCGTGCGTGTGTGCAGTTTTTCGACGAAGATTGGCTCGCAACGCACTAAGAAAAGCTTAATAATTAGAACTTTGAGGTTTCAGTTTGAGAGCGAATGTAATCAAATGTTATTCTCGCGGCCTGCTAATTAGACGCGGCGAGTCTGGTTATAACGCTCGCGCAAAGAGTAAACGCGCCCATTCGCACACGCGCGACGACAGAGCATAGTCGTTGAAGGAGATGAACGCGAAAGGAGCGTTGAAATACTTTGAGAGATGAAATGTGACGAGTCTCACCTATTGCAGTGGCACCTGTCTCACGCCCACAGGTGCTGGTGCTGCGGCGGCGGCGGCGGGGTCGGCAGCGAAGGCGGCCTCTCGAGCGGCACCGGCGACACCTCGGGCATGGCGAACCTCAATTTCTGCCAGAACAGCTTGTCGCCCCAGACGAGCAGCGTGTGCGAGGACAGCCGCTTCCTCAGGTCGGAGTCGAGGTCGCGGGGGCAGACGCCGCCGACGAGCAGCAGTATGACGCTGCGGCCGCGGCCCTTGAGCGCCTCCCTGAGGGCGGCCTTGAACTCGAACCTGGACCACTCGCCGTGGAGGAAGTTGCGCGACAGCACGAGGATGGTGCGCCTGGACGAGTCGGCGGCCTCGGCGACGGCGTCGGCGACGTTCGAGCCGGCGCCTAGGTCGCGATAGTGCAGGCAGAGCCGGTAGTTGGTCTCGAGGCCGGGCACGAGCACGCGCGACACGAAGCTCTCGTCGACCGCCGAGTACGAGATGTAGGCGTCGAACGGCTTCTCGCGGTCCTCGAAGGCGGCCGTCTTGTAGCAGGCGCGCAGGCCGCAGCGGCTGGCCGCCCAGGCCCGCAGGGCGCGCCGATGCCGGAGCGCGGCGCAGAGCAGGGCCAGGATGACGCAGAGCAGCGCGGCGGTGGCCAGCAGCAGAGGCAGGTAGGTCTCGAGCGAGCGGTCGCGCACGCTGGACGTGACGCTGCTCAGCGCCGCGCAATTCACGATGGACCCGTTGACTTGCGCCAGCAGCGGCATGCCGAGGCTGCAGGTGACGCGTCGCCAGTCGGATATCTTCTCCTTGTGCGCGGCCATCCACTCGCGCACGCGGTCCACGTAGGCGCAGTCGCAGTGCCAGGGGTTGCCCGCCAGGCTGACGTCCACGAGGTAGGGGTTGCGCGCGAGCAGCCACAGCGCGAAGCTGCCCAGGCGGTTGCTGTCGAGGCGGAGTATCTCCAGGTTGCGCAGCGGCAAGAACGTGCCGTTGTCGATGTAGGCCAGCTGGTTGTTCTGCAGGTAGAGCTCCTTCAGCGACTCCATCGGCGCCAGCTCCATGCCGTGGAGCGCGGCTATGCGGTTGTTCTCCAGGTGCAGCACCGCGAGCTTCTTCAAGCCGCTGAAGGTGAAGTTGCGAATGGACACGATGTTGCTGTCGTTGGCGTAGAGGATCTCGAGATTCTTGCGGCCGATGAACGAGTGCGAGGTGAGCTCCCCCAAGTCGTTGCCGTCGAGGTAGACCTCGGTGGCGTCCATGGGCAGTCTGCCGGGCAAGCGCTTGTAGCCGGAACTGGAGCAGTCGACGACGTTCGCGGCCCACGACTGGTCGTGATAGCACGTGCAGTTGGCCGGGCACGTCATCTCGCAGTCGCAGGCGTCAAAGTCACAGCAGTGGCACAACGCGAAGCAGTGGGCCGTGTAGCCGCAGAGGAACTGCGCGGGCTTGGCGTCCAGCAGCGGTATGAACGAGCGACGCCTGTCGTACGGCAGTCTGCAATAAACCGACTCGAGATCCATCACCCGCGGATGCTGGCGCAGGGTCAGATAATTAATTCGCTGCAGCCACTCGGTGGTGCAGTCGCAGACGAACGGGTTGCCCCCGATGTAGAATTCCGGCAGTGGCCTGTCCGCCGGCACCTGGGAAAGCTGAAACGACGACAGCTCCATGCGTACGATCTGGTTGGCGTAGAGGTCGACCCGCGTGAGATTGCGCTTGCCGACGAAGCTCTGCGGATCGACGCTGTGGATCTCGTTGTCGTTGAGAAAGAGTAGCTCGATCGACTCGGGTATCGAGTGCGAGCTTATGCGCGTCAGCCGGTTGAACGAGGCGTCGAGTGTTTGCAGTCGTAGATTCGGATGCGGCGGCGCTCGACCCAAATCAATGATCGCGTTCTTGTGCACGTCCATCCATTGCAGATGGCTCGGCAAATAACCGAAGTCGAATCGCTCGATCATATTGTCGGAGACGTTTAACCAGAGCAAACTACTGACGTTGACGAACGACGTCGACATGTCCTCGAGGATATTCGAGTCCAGTCGTATGGCTTGCAAGCTCGGGTTGCCGCGGAATGCCTCGCTGTCGACGTGCTCGATTTTGTTACGCGCCAGATTCAGAATCTGCAGGGTCGGCAGCTCGGCAAACACGTCTCGCGTGATATTACTTATGTAGTTGTTCATCAGTCTCAGGCCGTACAGGCCAGTCATACCTTCGAAATTCGATCGCTCCAATTGCTCGATGCGATTCTCGCCGAGATCCAGCATTTTCAGAATGCCCATGTCTTTCAGGGCGCTCGGTATGCTGTCTAGATTGTTGCCCGACAGCTGCACGTCCTGGATGCTCGAGCAGTTTTTGAAAGCGTCGGGGTGGATGCCCTCGAGCAAGTTGTAATTCATCGAGAGCAGGGACAAGGCGAACAAGCCGTTAAGCGATTGACCGTCCAGGTATCTCAGTCGATTGTGGGAGATTTCCAACGTGTGCAGATTGCTCATGGGCGCAAAAGTGTCGGCCGGTATAGTCTCGATCTCGTTGTACTTGAGATTCAGAATCTGCAGAGTGTACAGATCCTTGAACATCGCCGGGTCCAAATTGTCGATGCGATTGAAGGACAGATCAAGAAGCACCAGCCTAATCAAGCCGGCGAACGTAGCCGAATTCATCCACGAGCTGGTGAGCACGTTCTTCGAAAGATCCAGCGAGACCAGCTGATTCATGTTGGCCACGAGTCCCGGAGCGAGCACGCCGATGGAATTGTTCTGCAACTTGAGCTCCTTCAGCGAGTTGCCAGCCTCGCGAAACACTTCCGATGGCAAGGCGACGATCCTGTTGTCCGACAAATCCACACTCCTCAGTGATCTCAAGCCGTGAAAAGCCTCGTCCTCGACCACGGCAATCCCGTTGCCAGCGAGGTTCAGCATGCCAAGACGTCGCAGCGAGGAGAACACGCGGGCCGGCAACACCGAGATCCTATTGTGCGACACGTCGAGGTTACGTATATCGAGGGCGCAACTCGCCGCCGTGGGTGCACTCATCAGCTGCTCGAGCCTGCGAGGCTTTCTCGCCGAAGCGCCGGCGACACCGCGCAGACCAAAGTCCAGCTCGGTCAACTCCTCCAAGAGGTTGTACGACAAGTTCAGGCCAACGAGATTTGCCAGTGGGCAGAAACTTTCGCCGGGTACCTGCCAAATGTTGTTGCCCGAGAGGTCGATCTTCTCCAGTTGACTGGCCGCAGCGAACGTCCCTGGCTCGAGCTCCAGCGAGCCGCGTCTCTGGCCAGCCTCCGTTTTTATCGTCAAATTTCGCAGATCGCGCAGTCCCGTCAGAACGAGCCTGCCAACTCGGCAGCCGGTTATTCTTAGCGAGCGCATACGCCAGAGATGCGAAAGCTCCTCGGTGTTCAAAGATGCTCGCTTGTCTTGCCGCCGCGACGGCAAATTGAAGTCGTCGTCGAGCTGCTCTCCGCTCTCGAGACAATGAAGCGTCAACGAGGTCAACGACTCGCTTGGTATCTCACTGAGATTCACCCGGTTGCTTGCACTGGTAGCCAGCTCGTTTTGTAAACAGACGAGGCTGCCCTCGCTAGGCGAGTCCCACTCGCAATGCCGTGGCACTTTCAGAGTTGTCGCGTCGACGTTGCTGTTGCTGCTGCTGCCGCTACCGCTGCTGCTCATCATCGCCGCCATGTGACCGACGTTCAGAGCCAATAGCAGCAACGCCAGGATCGTTAGCCGGCTCATCTTCGAAATTCCGATAATTACTTTACACGATTACACGTACACACACACGCGCAGTTTCAGAACGCTACTGAGCTTGCGAGATCCATCACGGTTTTTTTTTCGTCGCGGAAAGCGTGGGGGGAGCGTATCCCGATAATGGCAGTGTCGAGAGGAACGAACGAACGATAGAGAATGTCAGAGAGAGAGAGAGAGAGAGAGAGAGAGAGAGAGAGAGAGGGAGAGAGAGAAAGAGAGAGAGTAGAAAAATGCCCGCAAGTGGCTACAGCAACAACGTGGCGGCAGCTGCAATCCCTCTTGTGTCCCCCGCGAAATTACGATCACGTCCGGCGCCGCTGCTACTGCTACTGCTGCTGATGATGGACAGCCGGCGGAAGAGCCTCCGCTCGGCTTTGCCCTTTACCCCTACGCTACGCATCGGTGCGCGACTACTTTTAGTTCTTATTTCTTTTATATGTAGTCTATCTATAATTTAACCCTTTCATCTCGTCACCTCTAACGCGCGTGTCAATTCGCACTCTAACGAAAACAAAACGGTGTATCTTGTGCGCGCACTTCCTTCCCAATACTTGCTCGTGAACTTTATTAAAAACAGCTAGTTCCGTACAAGCACGTATAAAGTGAGGTGACCGCTCGACAGGCAGCGCGAGACTGACTGACTGCAGGCGAACGAGCGAACTTAGTCGAGGCGGCGCGCCACGAGTGACTGGCGCGCGCAGGGGGTAAGAGAAACGACGGCATATCCCGCCTCGTACAGACCTTCCCCACCACGATCACCACCACCACCGCTGCCGCCGCCACCACCACCACCACTACCACCAATTCGCAACGTGTCACTGTACCAAGGGCCAGTGCATCGTAGTCGTATTTCTTTCTGCGTGCGCGAATTTTCGCGCAGGTGCATGCACGCGAAAATTGAGGGGAGGCCTTGCCTTTTTATTCGATCAGCCGCGCTACATTCAACGCCACTACGTTTTCACGCCCTTGTGATTTACTCGAACCAATTGTTTTATTAATTTCCTTTTTGTTTTTGATCACGTCGAAATTGCATACAAATTTTTGGGAGTGTCGCTAGAACTTTATGTGATGTTGATTACTTGACTTCTATCGCTAGATAGGTACACTCGACAGTCAGATTCACTTAAAATTTAAAAAAGTAAGCCTCGAAATTCACTTGAATCTTAAAAGTCACAGAATGATTTAGATTACTTGCAGATCGATTGAATAAGCAATAAAGAAAATGAAATTGTTAAATAGATTTCATAAAGCACTGTGGTTTTCAAAAACACCTTCGTAAGTTGATCATTCATCAGTTTTAAAATTACCCTGGCTTTTCAAATTTCATATATACGCGATGGATCTTATGCGTTCTGTACAGATTAATAAAACGAAAAGAAACTCAAGGCGGTTATACGTGAAAAGCGGAAAGAGTAGAAAAAAGAAAGAAATTTCAATTGATTTGAAAAACAATTTTTTTGTGCCCGTATTATCTGACTAATTTGCGACGTTTATTTGCCCGTTTAATACTCCGACACCTCGTTCTGCACTGTGCAAACGCAATTACGAAAGGGGACGCGACACGACGCCGGCAATAATGACGAAATTCAACGAGGCAATAATTGACAGCTGCAAAAAAATATTTGGACAGTCGAAAATAGTGAACTTTCTCTCCTGAGTCTTTATAAATTTTACATGAGGTCTCTTTTTTTGCGAGGGGACGGTTTTAGTCAGCGACCACGCGGAGCACTGACTGGCCGTCTCTCTCTCTCTCTCGACCTAGCCAGTTTGGTTGACATTTTTTGTGCCTTTTTCCTGTTTTCGCGTCTCTCCCTCTCTGTCTCCCTCTCTCTCTATCTCTCTCGGGCTGTGTATATTCAGTTCAGCCTCCCCTCAAAAAAAGTGGTCGGACGAGCGGGCGCATACAGCGTGCACGATTTTTTCAGTTATGCAAATCCTCTACAAGCGGCTTCGGTCTTTCTCTTACTCTTTCCCCTGTCACCCTCGTGACACGGGCGACGTCCTCTTCTGTTTTCTAGCTCCTCCATAGTATGCTTCCTTCTGCTCTTATTGCACGCAGGACGAGCGAGCGCGCAACTTCGCAATTATGCAGACGATGGTATAATAGAGTGAAGCATTCAAGCAGCGAGCTGATGAATTGGATACCAAACCGCCAAAGCACGAGAATCCAGTGGTGGCACTCACCACACACACACGCACGCACGCACGAATGACGGAATTTTTTCCGTACCAATTGATTGTTGCACCTCCGCTAGCTTGTTCAAATGTTATTGGAGGGAAAAGCGTTATCGGCAATGGACCCTTGTTCTTCTACTATTTTTACTTTATTTTCAGTGTTTGAACGGCCCTGTTGACAATGAATTATTCATTATCTCGAGGATGTCCGCTCGATCGACCGTTACGTCTTATTTATTTTGGAAAGCTAAGTGTTCTTCTCTTGATTTTTAATGTCAAAACAGATTTTTTTCGCTCTCTAAGCAAAAAACGTGGGTGAGATTATTAATAAATTTTCTAAATGAATTAGATCAGCGAATCGTAATTTTATATTCACATGCTGTATTATTTATTGTGACTTTGTGTTGACCTGGTGTGATGAATAATGGATGCAACTTTTGGTTTATACGTCTAACTTTCACAAATAACATAAAATTTCGTGGTTTTACATAGCGCATTAATATTTATGGCTGCTCGAATTATTTTAAAATATCATAGCGACTTAATATTTCTATAATTTAAACAATAATCAAAACAATATAATAATTTTATATTAAAATAATATATATTTTTATATATTATATGGCTAATTTTTTAAAACAAATATTAAATTAAAAATAAATTTGCTCAAATTCAACTTTGTAAAATAGCTTTCGAAATAAAGGAGAAACATAAATTAAAGACGATCACGTTTGTTGAAGAAGTATTTTATCTATATTCCATTTTAATTTTCTTTTATCCATTGATATTATGTCAATAATAAAAATCAAATCATAATATATATAGCGAATTCGACATTTATACCTTTACTCCTAAAAGCAGTACTTTGTTAATTTTAGAATGTCGAGTAACACTGAAATTCGATAATCCCCTTATCTCTGCTAACTACAGAGTCACTCGATATACACTTTAAATTCTAGAGCGGAGTGTGATGTTTGAAATTCTTTGTGTGCACAGGACATATGTGAAAAAGATTTAAAGTGAATCGATGTTCCTACCACTAAAGTGAATTTATTCAATTTGTAGTTTTCTGAGACGGAGTAAAGGATATTTTCGTTTGCTACAAAGGTATTTAAATTTTCGCAAAGCTTCACGTGTTTAGGTTTTGTATTTAAAATGGATAACTGTTTATCTTTGATATATTAAATCCGTCATGAAATTTAAGGTACAATTTATAGTCGTAAGTCCGTCAAATCTACTTAAATTCGTATAAATAATATCGCCACTCGTTGATATTTCTCGTAAAAAAAATCAACAAGAAATACGATCTACAATCATGGAGTAGTAGCCGATTTTACGAATATCGCAATAAAAGATGAAAGAAGCCAAGCATAATCAGATAATACCTTCATACAACCCTTAAATCACTTATATCGTCTCATACGCTCGCGGAGAGTAGCACTCGTATGAGGTAAAAAGAGGTTTTACGAGATCCAGAGCTGTCCGATACACACACAGACATACACATTTGCATGCAGCTTGCGCGCATGGGGTCGTCGTCAAATATTTACGTCAACACGCATTCGAGAGCGCGCGCGCGCGTGGAAAGTCATGCCTAGAAATGAATATCAAACATTCAAAAGCGTAAAGCCGTATAAAAGAACACCCACTCCGCCAGGGTTTGTTTGTCCGTACAATGCCTCGGCGAACTTCTTTTCAACGGCCAGACTCGCTAATATTCAGGGGCTGCCGAGCAAAAAAAGCTCTCTCTATCAATTTTAAAACGCCGCTGGCCGACCCTTGCTTCTCGTCCTTTGTCGTCATCCAAATGAACGGCTTTCGTTATACGTGCCTCGTACATTTTTGGCTCGAGTCTCCGCGCGCCGCGTCGGTGCATAACGAAAGTCCTTTGCATGCGCGGCACACCTCCAGCCCCCTGGAAAACCCTTGCCCTCCCTGCCCCGCGACTACTGACTTATTTATTTTTCTATCAAACTTTAAGTATACTTTGACAGAAACAGAGAGAAAAAGAGCGCGCGCGCGCCTCACTCTCTTCTCTGTCTATCTATTAGCTGGCTCTTATTCATGTTTTTCACTGTGTTAAACTGTTAATTGCGACTATGTGGTGTTTTTCACTGCTGTAGAAGTGAAAAAGGACACTTGAGCCATATCTACACTCCTACCAACTTAAAGAAATCTATTTACAAGTCGAATAATCGGCTTATCCTCAATTTTTTACAACAGTAGTTTTATTTTCTTTCCGTGTCATTTGCACCATTTGTGCCCTAACAATTTATTGTATAACAAATAAATTTATATTTGTTAATAAGGTAGTTTTATTTATTAAAATATTTAGTAATATATTTTCTCTTATAATATATTAATTCCATTGGAAATTGGAAACTTAAAAAAAAAGTAAAATTTAATAAATTCAGGTTAAATACTTCATCTCCTTTTGCGTCGACTATGCCTGACTAAACTCGGATTGTATCTACTACATATCTTAAATATCTTTTTGGTAGGCCGCCAACTTTCATCACTTGAAATTTAAGCAACTCTGAAAGAATAATTTACACGCAATGTAATTTAGGTGGTTCACGTAGTGTCTAGTTTTTTAAATAGTAACTCGAACAAATTAAAAAATTTCATAGTCATCCGTTTTTAATTAAAATTGATTGCAACTTTCTTTATATTTATCAAATAACAATTTAAAGAAGTTCCAAATATTTTTTTTTAAATATTTTATTCACCTTTAGGGCAGAATAACTTGATCATATATTTTAAAAATATGTTACACTACAATAATTGAACTGCTAGAGTGAAATTTTGAAACATTATGATTCATAAATATTTCACATTTTCTCCTCTTAAATTGTTAAAGAAAATGTATCTTTCAATGAAAAATTAAGATAAAATAAATAGTTAATGAAGTATTATTCTAGAACAAACTTTCAAGTGTATAAAAATTATATCTAATATAAACATAATAAAAATTCTTTGCTTGTTTTTATTTTTATGCTATCTACGAAAAAATTGTTTTGCAATAAAAAAAAAACAACGGTTCTGTTTTTATGGGAAATATTTATTCTTCAGCGGCAGAAACAACTGCCATCATTGGTCAATAAAAAAGTTATCTCTAAAATCGACGTTGGTCTTCCGCTGATGAATAAAATCTAGTCCTGAGTTTAGAATTTAATCAAAAAGTCCAAAGCCCATGTCTTCATCTTCATCTTCAGATTCCTCTTTTGCTGGCTTCTTTTCTTCTGTAAAAATAAATTGCATAAACATTTAGCAAATCCTTTGATAACATGAATAAGAATTTGAGGTCAATATGTATAAATCAGTGTACAAATTTACAGCACAATGCTTCAGTCGAAAGATGGTTGATAAACATCATTTAAAATATTGTTTTAGTAATAGATAATAATATTAGAAACCATAAAAATGAGGTGTTGAAATCCACAAACTATATGATAAATGCCAATATAAAAGTTTAATATGAAAAATTCTGTGTCCTTCATGTTATTTCATTTTTGATATGAAATATATTTTGAATGAAATAGTAAGATAAATTAATAGAAATATAAGATGATATTGGAATTATTGTAAGCCATGAAATTAAAAATATCAGAATATAAATTAATCACATATGACTGATATCTAAATTTTGCTTGACGCTTATTACACTACTTTATAAAAACTAAATTATGTTGACCATAGTGATAATTTTTCCATAAACTATTTTGAAACATTAATAATGAGTAAAAGAAATTGATTGGAATATTATACTATATTAACAGTTTCCAGGTAGTTTATGTAAAACATGAAAATGTATAATTTACGTATGATTTCCTTGATATAAATTACATTATGTTATAAAAACTACATTAATTATACTATAAATCTAAGTTTTAATTAATTTTAAAGTCTTTTGAAACATAAATCTACCTCTTAAAGAAAAAATAAGATTATGCTTACCTTTCTTTTCTTCTGCAACAGCAGGAGAAACAGCACCAGCTGCAACAGGCGCAGCAGCACCACCAGCTGGCATGGAGGCAAGTTTTTCTTTACCTTCAATGAAAATCAAGAAAAATTCTTCGTAACAAGCTGTATAAGTACAAATTTATTCAACATAACATATACAAACCTTGAACGATCAGTTCTTCAACATTTTTGCCATTAAGTTGAGAGATCACTTTCTTCAGTTTCTCTCCATCAACTTCAATACCAACCGAGGAGAGGATTTTCTCCAGGTCAGTATTGCTAGGATTCTCTTTGTTACCCAAAAGGGCAAGAAGATAAGCGGCGACGTAACGCACTGTAAACAATATAACTTTAAGGTTACGGCCATATAAATCCTTGCTTAAAAACTACAAATAAAATAGAAATGTATCAATCAGTTAAGATATAATCATCACAATGCTTCAGTCGAAAGATGGTGATAATTGAAATCATCATTATTAAATTATAAATTTTACTTTCACTGGACTCGACACAAAATTATGAACAATACAACGTGGTAATAACAATGGCACGGAAACTATATCCACAAAAATCATAACCTTTTCAATTCGATCGACACTAACACTAATAAAATATAATAGCTTATAAAATTATTAGCTTATTTGACATATTATTTTTTTTAATTTCATAGATTTTTACTTACTTTTAAGTCTTCAAAGACAGGAAACGGCTGACCGCTAAACACGAAATGATCTTCGTTCCTTACTTCGGAACAAAATGGACGAGTTACTAGTTTGCCACTATAGACAACTATAAAAACAAAATATCAATAAGGACTATAGGGAGTAGCAACGTTTTTGTTGGAAAAGTTGCCCTGCTAGGTCCCTAGAAAGTAGCCCGCAGATTTGATGAGATATGACTGCATCGGCTGCTCCGTCAGTGCTGTACCTACGCATGAATAACATTTATTCAATTAGTTTATTTATATTTATTTTTAAAAAATACGTAATATTTAATGAAAAATTCTTTGTCATAGTTTGAAGTTGAAGAACTAGGCAGTCACTGAATGTTGGTTAAATAAGTATCTGGTTTTAATTTGAAAATAATATAGATCATTATTATTTTTATTTTTTGAAATGCATACTTTGTGATTGTTTTACTTTTTCAAATGGAAACCACAATCATTTAGATTTATACTAAAATAAAATAATCACAAAGTAAGCATCTTAAAGAATTAAAATAACAATGATCTATGTTATTCATTCGGGTTAATTCAGATACTTATTTAACCAACATCCAAAGTCTACCCGCAGTTCTTCAACTTCAAATTATGACAAAGAATTTTTCATTTAATATTACGTATTTTTTTAATAAATATAGATAAACTAATTGAATAAATTATTAACTTGTGACCGCGAGAAGGTAATTATACTATGAATAGCAATAATGTAAGTACAAGAATCTCTGGTACAAGTACTGACGGAGCAGCCGACGCAATTAAATCTTACCAAATCTGAGGGGTTACATTCCAGGGACCCAGCAGAGCAACTTTTCCCGTAAAAACGCAAATATAGGGATTTTCTACTGTAAAAATTTGTTTCAGGGCCTTAGAAATTATTGCATTATGTTAAGTATGAATGAGATAATTTCTAGGGACCCTAAAAAAATCTTTCAGTGGCAACACTGAGGCGGTAAAATTAAAAAATAAATCTATATTTTGGTAGCACTGCAGTACAATATGGCGACGGCGGGCGTCGGTTACTTGAGTTTTCAAACAAACCGTCATTCATTAATAAGCTGTTATTATTTTTCGAAATTGTCACAATAATTAATTGAATTAAAGCGGAAACATTATTTTATTCATGAAAAGTAAGTGCGAATGATATCGATAAAATGCGCAAAAGTTCAACAACAACTAGACGACGTTCTTCGTCAAACCCTGGCAGGTTTTCACAGCAGGAGCAAGACAGAAATTCTATGAGAATGGATTCTCGAAGACCACAAAATGTAAAAGCAAAAGATTCAAATTTTGGTGGCCGTGATTCAATGATTCCTAAGCCACAGATACGTAGCTCTTCATCTGATAGACTTAGTGGCATGCGAAAATCAAATTTAAGACCAACAACAGGTACGGTATTGTTTTTAAAAAAATAAGTGTAATACAATTTGATTCTTTTATATATTTATCAGAATATTTTAATTCGATTGGAGATACATAGTATACAGTAACATATTTGCAGGTCCCAAAACATCTGTTGGTCAATATGTTACAGTAACATCTGCTATTTCTCCAATGCCTAGTAATTCTCGTTATACACATGTGATAGAAAAATCTACACGCCCATCTACTGATCAAAATATTAGGAGTAGAGCATCTTGTGTTGATCAAGGTGGTTTATCTTCAAAAGTATATATCACTCCAGGTGGATCACGCCAAACAGCATCAGCAAGTGATGGAAGAAATGTTAGAGCATCTTCAGCTGAACGAGCAAATGCCCTTGCTCCAAAGGGTACCAAAAAGGACATCAGACCACTAAGTGATAAAAATTATCAAAATGAAATGTTACACAAAATTGATAACTATTTTGCTTCTATTGGACAGAGCACAATTTTGAATAGTAATGGTAGTATAAAACCACTAACTATAAAGATATTTGTGGATGCAACAAATTTATTAATAGCTCTTTTGGATATGAAACAATCGCTAACAGCAGCCAATTACACTGAGGAAATTCCTAAAATTGCAAAAAAGCTTCATTACCCAGGTTTAACAAATAAATCTTGGCTAAAAACTGCTAATACCCCACATACTTTGCATCATGCTCTAGGCTGGATTTGTTGGCTGGTTGAATTGTGTGAAGTTAAAGATTTAGCTAGTGAAATATTTACTCTTGAGAGACTACCAATTATTGGAAATGATGATGAGGAAAAAGAAAAACATCGTAAAATTTTTCTTGTTATGATTCAATGTTATAAAGCATGGAACGATGAAAAGCCAGAAGATGAAGAAATGATAATGCAAGAATTTTTTCAAGAAGAAGCATTAAGGAGAGGTATCAGTGATGACAAGCATGAGCAAATCCGATTAGAGTTTGAAAAAGTTAGAGCAAATTTAGAAAAGGAACAAGTTAAATATAATAAAGTTAATGAGGAAGTAACAGAACTCCAAGAAATTTTAAATAACATGAAGAAAGATCGGACTAAACAAGTAGATCACATAGCTGAACAACAAAAATATATAGAGAAAACACTTAAAGAAATTGAACAATTTAGTAAAGAATCAGTTATGTTTGCAGAAAATATTAAGAAATTCGAAAAACAAAAAGAAGAATTAAGTAATACTATTAAAAAGCAACCAATGTCTGTTATGGAAAGAGATGAAATAATCAAAAAATGTATTGAGCAGCAAACATATATACAAAATTTTGATACTCATTTAGAAGAAATTAAAAAAGAAGCTTATGCCTTAGATATGCGTTTAGTCTCATCAAAAACAAGTCTTGAAAAAACTATATTTGCTTATAATAAGGCACTCTTTATGCAACTTTCAGATGCCAATGTTGATTATAAAGACTTTCAAATGCCAGAAACTGGTGTGTGTGAATCTAATTTTATAAAAAGATTAGAAGAAAAGAAAAAATTGATGAGTACCTTCATATTAGAACAGTCAAAAGAACTAAATAAAAAAATGACACAGTTGGAATCTCACAACAGAGAAATAGAAGCAATGCAAACAAAAAGAGATACACTGTCTGAGAAAATGGAAAAGAAGAAAGCCATGGAAGAGAAACGGAAGCAAGATTTAAAAACAAAAGAAAATAAAAAACGTGAAGAAATTAGAAAATTGCAATGTAGTATTACAGAGTTGAATGAAGTTATTGCAAAATCTTCAGAGGAGGTTGATATTATAAATCAACAGTTAGCGAATGCCACTGAAAAAAGAGAGGCTGTTTTAGAAAAAAATGCACATCTTAAAGAATCTGCAAAAACGTTATTTGCTGGAATGTATAATATTTTAGATAATCACAGAGATAAAATAAGAAAAACGTTAGAAATGTTAACAGTAAAACAAATTAAGTAAGAAATACGTCGTTTTCTTATGTACAGGAATTTATGTAAGCTCATTAAACAAATATTTTTCTACCAAAATAAATGGTGTTCAATATTATGCGACTGAAAATTAAAAAATGTCAGTATAATATATTATTTTATTAAAATTGTATCCGAAATTTTTAAATATTGTAAATAGTGTAATATTTAATAAGAAAGTATCTACAAGTTAGATTTAATTTACAATTTTAACTTTATTACAAACACTTATGTTTTAAGAATTCATACATAATAAAATACAATATTTTATACCTAAACGTCATATGTACATGATTTCGCCATCTTCTATATATAAAAAAATCATAATTTTTTTCATTTCAATTCCAATAGTATCTATAAAACATTGTAAATAATTAAAATAACATCTTTGGATGTGATTATAATCGTAGAATAGATTCCAAAGGAGCTTTTTAGAAAACTAAATTATAAAGATGAAAAGACATTTTGAAGATGTTGATTCAACGAAAAATTAAGAAAGCTACTCAGAGTGTAAAATTTGTAATTAACTTAATAAACGCTCGACTGTAAAACAGCTTTTTGTAACAAAGATGAGAAAGTGGCATTTACTTCTTGACAAAGAATTTCAGCCGACTTATCACCAAGAGCCGCTTGAGCTGAACTAACTCTACCTAGTTGAACGAGTAAATCTACGGCGCCATCAACAAGTGGTGGAAAGGCAAAACTGATCCTCGTCAAAGCAGGTAAGATTGGCATAAATAAGCAGACACGATCTCTCGATGGAAGGGCTCCTAATAGAGTACCCAAAGTGTTTATAGCAAGTCGACAAACGCCTAAGGCCTTGGGTAACGCATATTGAACTGCTAAGTGAGAAACGAGATCTACGGCAAACACTTGTTTATCTAGCTCAGGTTGCTGCATGAGCTCGGGAATCCAGTCAAGACAGATATGCATGGATGGTATTCCTGCCACTGTGACCGGTATTAGTTCCCGAGGATAACCCTGAAAATAAATAAAATTTACTTTATTAACGAATGTCAAATTTACTATGATCAACTTGCATGTTAAGGAAAAAAGTATTTTGTTACCTGAAAGTGAACGAGTTTGGCCAAAGATGGATCGGCAATAAATACTTGATGTAGATACGAGCAAATAACACTTCTTATTTCTCTCAAAGACCACATTTGGCCAGCGATCGTACGGTCATCTTCCGTCTCAAGGCATGCCTCCAACAAAATCTGTACGGCAGCACTTTCTTGTCCTGCAATAAGTGCAGTTTTGAGTTCTTCTCTTTCCGCTTCGCTAGTCAGTTGTCCAGCTTTTTCCGTCAAAGGTCTGTCCTGCATATGCCTTGTTAACTGTGATCGAGATGCTGCCAATGTTGCTTGTAAAATTCTGAAATTATGTAAATAGATATTCAGCTTTTGATCAATTTAATTTGCGATTTTCAATTGAGATAAATACCTAAGTATCACAGATAAAACAGGTGCGCAGCGAAAAACTCTCATATCACAGCGTAGAACTTGAAGTGGATCCAATACAATGTTTTCTTGCGTAAGAAAGACAGTTGCAACTGCCGAATTTTCTAAAAACAGTGCATTTATCGAGAGTACCCATAAGCAGCGTGGTAAAACCGTATTTAGCCTTAGCCATACTTGTTGATAGAGTTCTGAAGAAAGAAAATTATTGAAATTAGTTAATAGTAACGTAAAATTCATTACTAGTTATTACAAGCACAAAACATACCTTGAATGTATCTAGGCACTCGCTCGTCCAAAATCTTTTTGAAAAATTGTATGATAGTTTTAACATGAGGCCAGATATCAGTTGGCTTCATGGACAACAATTGCCTGAGGAGCATACCGGTCCTGGAAGGACAACTCTCAATGTGATCGAAAGCTTCTTTGATAGTCGATTCGTTCACAGCAACTGTCTCCTGATTTTTGTTGCCGATGTCAAAGTTTATAGTCTCGTCATCGAGCCAGTCATCGACGAGCGATAGATGCGGAAAATGTGTCGCCAGCAGTCTAAGTAAAGGCGAAAACAATCCTGCATAACTCATTTGATCTCTTTGTACTTGTTGCAGAAGATATTTGATTGGAAGCTCGGAGAGAAATTCTGTAGAATATGCCTTAACTTTGCGACCCTGCGATATGAAATTGTGCATATTCGCTAATCTTACGTCCTCATATAATAATAAATAGTACAACAGCAAAAGTTGCGAAGTTAAAGATGGTTTGACAATGTCAATGATTTCTACACTTTCGGGTTCGGGTTCCGTGATATGCATCGTTTTCCTTTTATTGTCAAAGTTGGCGCCGAATACACTCTTTTGAAACACTCGTCTTACATCTTCTTCCGTAAGTGGTTTATTCGTATGCTCGATAGCTTTATTGCTCGTTACAAGAATAGAATTAACATAGACTTCAACCAAAGCTGGTAATACTGGATGTAATGGAGGTACACTGGCACATATCTGTCTGTAAATCCAGTTCTTAATGGGTACTTTGTGCTTAGCAAAAGCTCGTGATTTCAACAATTGGTGAATACAATGAACAGGTAAAAAACCAGCAATGTTGGCATTCAAATTAGCTGTAACAGGTACTTTCACAGCATGAGAGGTGACGACTTGTTCGGTAAATATATCTTGCATAAATATTTGTTTCATTCGCGTCAAATTGTTCGGCCTTATTGGAATCTTCATTCCAAGAGTCGCGCAGACGAGTTCGCAAATAGCCGAAAGTTGGTTACTGTGGAAATGAATAGCCATAAGCAGCAACATTTCACCGAAACTAGCCGAGACACCGCTGGCATTTTCAAAGTATGCTTCCTCGCGAACGAGCCACTGAACCCATTCAATGCAAGGTTTCTCAAGATTATGATGACCAATCAAAGATGGACAAGCTATAAGCATGCACAATCCCAGAGAAACAAATCTAACTCCTGCAGGTGAAGGAGGTGGATGAGATGTCAAAAGTTTGACAATCATAACAATTTCCTCGTCTTGGAATTTGATACCACCAATTCCTCGAAGGGCACAGTACAATCTCAATAATGTGCTTGCTTGAACTACTCTACACTCTGCCAGCTGTCCATCTGTGCTGTGCGATGTTATGGCTTGCAACCTTCTTAGAAGCTCATCTCTGAGAGCTTGCAAAGCTGTATGTGATTCATATTTTCTCTTTTGTCCATTTCTTATGAACATGGCAAACCATGATCTTACCTAAAAATAGAACAATAAATTAGCTTTGTATTACACATACACACATACACACACACACACACACACACACACATGCACCCACACACACACACACAAACACACAATCACTTTATAAATAACAGTATGACTTTACCTGAATGTCACTGCCTAATAAAAGACCAGAAACAAAAGCAATTATATCACTTTCTGATACCGAACTACTAATACTAGAGTTTTCTAAGCTCAAAGTTATAGCCAAAGCTGGCATTCTACAAAGTTCAACACATTTAGCACGAATAACAAGTGCTTGACTTGGATTCATTTGGCACAACATTGTTAAGGTTTGAGTTCTTATACTAGTGAGAACTGATTCTTCTTGACGTTCCCCATTGGCTATTAAATGGGAGCAAACTTCCATAAAACTGTCAGGATTATTAGCAATAATCCAGCAAATAATTTCTGGCCCATGTTTTATATGGAGAAGTGTCTCACAAATAGTTGGAATAGACAGTAAATCAGGCAATTCAGCTAAAGCAATGCAAATAATGTAACTGATTTCTTCCATATACACAACGCTATCGAATAAATCAGATTGCTTAATCTGAAATTCCTGATTCTTCTGCAACTCTTCTATCTGTGATGCTATAAATAATATTTCACTCAGAACTAAACGAATACGTCGATTCGCATCACTTCGTTCAAAGTCCAGAATAAGTGCACTTGGTAATGATTGTGCCAATATACTATCTCCTTGTACATTACCTTTCTTTTGCCTGAAAAAATATTAAATATTAATACTAGAGCTCTGATAAGAATAGTTATTTATTGCATAATCTAAAAGAAACATATTGGCATAATAACATTGATAAACTAAAGCCTTTGATAGAATTATGTTAAAACATGAAACTAACCTAAGCTGCTGTTCCCTTCGTACATCAGTCTCCAAACTATGAAAATCAATGGAGAGCAAGGCCACCATAGAATTAACCGATTCAATTCCCGATAGAATAGTAAGAATCTCTTTTCTTGTCTCAACGCACTCATTGGTAGTATCCAAAGGTGCAATAAGGCTCATTCTAACCAAACAAGGCAGGATAGGTCGAACTTCTCGTTCGGTGCATTGAGCAAGCTCACGAGTGTCGACATTCTGGATAGCCGCAAAAACGCGCGCCGAAACCGGCGATGCGTTCTGCATCTTCCCTCCGCGGTGGTTCATCAGCGACTGCTAGACGCCTAAACAAAGCGCAACTTTCAGCTACCGGACGACTACAGCGTGTACGCTCAACAACCTGGACGCTGCCATTTTTAGGTATAGCTACTTCGATTACGTCACTGCCCATATTACAAGCTGCACCGTTTCCACTGAGGACTAGCGTCGTCTGCTGTTTAACTAGGCAACTATAATCGACTGAGAGGAAAAATTTGAAACGTAAATGAGTCGAGTTGTAACTTTTCAAAAGTCATTTTTATTGCTTCTTTCAGTATCAACAAGCAATTGTTACATTACCGCAGTCAAGTGGTTGGTACCATTTACATTATTTTTCACTTATTTCTGATACAAGATACTTGGACGACATTTATGTTTTCGGTTTTCATTGTTATATTTTATGTTACTTCATAGTTTTACGAGATACAGGTATAATTGAATTGTATGCGTTAAGCGTGTTTCGGTGTATATATATAATATGCAAATTATTGAATATATTCTATATAAGTATAATTCGCAAAAACACGATTATAACTTTTCAAGAAACTGTTGCGTTCAACGATCAAAATTATCGTTAAAATTTGTCAAATATATCATATATAAAATTCAAACAATCCTATTTATGTTGATCAATCTAAAAACATCTCCCCATCAGTGAGATTGTCATAAAAATTATTCTCTTTTTCGTTCAAACTTAATTCTTCCAAACTGACTCACAATTGAAGAGTATTAACTTGGCGAAGATAGGCAGACGTAAAGTAGAGTATCACAATTTTTATTAAAGGTGATGTACTTCATACGTTTTGTAACTAAACTTGTGGTACATTTAGAGAGAAAGAGTCGAAAGTTAAAAATATTATTAGACGAACTATCTTGTGGGTACAGAGTCTAAAGAAGTCGACGTAATTGTTAATGCTATAAAAGTATTATTCGAACAGACAATGATCAATATTAGTATTTGCACATGATACATTGCTAGAAAAATATGCAAATTCTTTCATCTCGCACTTCCTTGTGATATTAAAAGTTACATCATTTTCAGTTTAACTGCATACAGTAAAAATAGCAATCTGTTAATTTACTTCTCGCTAATTTTTACCGTTACACGGTTAAAATTCAACTATTCCACGATTATATCAAGAATAATAATGTTATTTTTAGGCGTCGTTCGAATATATATTTTGAGATAATCATGAAATTGGAGACAGGTAACATAAGTAATATAGGTATACGATGTGATTTAAAGTCTTTAGTAGCAGAAAAGTAGAATTTGTAAGACAAGTAATCTCAAAATAGGCTGATTACTTATATTTGTATTGCTTTCAACGTTTCCTTAGTCTTGTACAATGGATAATTTCATTTTTGAGTATTAAAACAGTAACGAAATACAAAAATCTATGCCGCACGGATAATTTTCAACAATAAAAAATGCTTTGTATAATTATGTACCTAACAAACATGCGGAATTCGTCAGTTAAAGCCGTTTTCGATATATAAATTTCTTATGGATTATTTGTTGTTATACGTGTAAGTGCACTGCAAAGCTATTTTTTACATTGATATGCTTGCCATACCTTGCCAAACTTGAAAAGTATCCTATACATTGTTCGTTAAATATGTTGTACACGAGTTCTTCCTTAACTCTACATGAACCTGGCTAAGAAATCGTATGTATATATTTGACAACGAAAAGAAGGAAGACGTCCCCTAATGCAAATACATAACAACAGATTTGTTAACACCCGTATCAGAAAAATACATCGATTTCTTTGACACTTTCAAAATATCAACATTCTTTTTTATCAAATGACGTTTTTAACAGTTATTAAAAAGTACTTGATTCATTGTAATACTGATGAGACTTTTAATGTACGGAATTTTCTATATGGCTTCAAATTAAAATTAATTTTTTCAGTTTTTTTTCTAAAATTTGATCTATAATACATCAAAGCTTCTTTTGTATAACTATTGTAAGTTATGAATGACAAAAATCAATTCGTTGTTCAAACAGGTATGTCAATTTTTTCTATATGAATGAGTCTTCATTCGTATGTAAACATTTCTGAAAAATTTGAAATCAACCCAACCGAAAGCTAACATTTTTTCATCCAATTTGTGTATAATGAATAATTATGTTATAGAAAATTCCGCTTAAAATCTTCACATTATTGTTACCGATCACGTAAAACTTCACCAATACATTGTTTTACTCGATGTATTCGTTTAACATAATAACGTATATGGCAAAATAAATACTCAATCAATCATAAACATTGAAAACCAACATTCTATTTGGAATCCTTTCATCACCAAAGTAATCGAAAGAATGACTTTTACAATCGCACTTGTTAAAGTCCAAAGGCTAATGAAGGTGTTCACTTCATGAAAGCTTTCATCTGGTTTGTCTGATGCTTCATGCTGTACTGAGCGTTCTCAGCCTTGGATATGAGCGAGTCAAGTTTGTCAAGGTGCGAAGTCATTTTAGTGTTGATATCGGCTTTTCTATTTGTGGTCACTCGCGGCAACTCGCCACCTTCCTCCGTGGCCCCCTCTTCGCTTGTCACTTCCTCGGGCTGCTCGTCAGCGCTCGTTGACGGCTGAGGTTCGGACGCCGATCCTGAGCGTGACTTGTGCTCTGGTGTACCAGGCTGCGAAGCTGTCGATACTCGGGCTTTCAACAACGTACCAAGGCTACCGCATACATTCTGAGGAAAGAAGCAACATTTTTTTATCGCGAAAAGCAAAGGTAGCTTATTAATAATAATTGAAATCATTTAAAAGTCCGACTGAGATACAAGGAGCTTTTAATTTCATAATGTCCACTTTGTGATTTTTTCTCACTGGCCCGGAATGCTGCTCGAGGGAAATAAAAACGTGATTTTATATAGTTTGTAAGAGGGATTTTCAGACAGTCGGAATTCTCATCCCATAACAAATTTGATAATTTATTCCGAAACTTGATGAACTGCGAGTTTCAGTTTTGTATCAATTAAAAGTTTTACGTGAACCGGCTGGGTTAGAAAATTACGCAAACAAAAGTAATTGAAATGCTAATAAGCAAAGGAGAACTCACTTTAAACTTGTTGATCTTTTTTTGAGTTGCATTTAGTATTGTGTTCAGCTCGTCCAAGCCTCCGCCAATCCGCTTCATACCTTCTTCATTTTCATCCAATTCCTGTGACGATAAGATTCGCATTATGGCATAACTCTTAAAAGAAAGTTTGCCCACTGTCCATATTTATAGGGCAAACGGAATATGACTAAAAGCGCGTGTGCAATCAGAAAACTATAGCTCCCATTAATTTGCATCGATGAAAAATTCATATGAAATGACCTTCTCGCAATCAAACGTGAAAAGCTGCGAACTTTTCGAGCATGGAAAATTAAAAAAGCACTTGGGAGCTCTTCGTTCTTTTATTAATATCAAGCTCCCACACAGCCTGCATTCATATATACATACACAAGCACAGCTTGCATCGACAGGCATAAAATGCGAATGAAATTGAGCAGGCGTGTGCGAAAGTGGAGCGCACACGTAATATTTTTATCATTCGGATCAATTTTATTTCTCAGGTCGACTCGGAAATGCCGCGAAGTGGAAGGTAATCTTTCGGACGCCGATGTCCGCCGGTTATTAAAACAGCTCGACGGGCGTGAGAAAATGCCTCACAGTCAATATGAATTCCAATGAAAAGCCACGCGCGCGCCATGTAATTACTGGCCCGAGCTTGCGCTCTCGATTCAGCTGCAAGTGTTCAAGGTTAATCTCGCTCTCTCTTACTTTCGTGGCATTGCCTCGTAATCAAGTGGCTAATCCTCAAAGCGATCGTCCTTCGAAAGAAACAAGAGAGGAAAGAAAGACAGAGCGAACAGAAAAAAAAAGAAAGCAGAAGAGAGGTCGAAGAAGCGGTGGAGCGAGCTCAATCAGAGATGATCACCTGAGCGACGGCGTCGTCGTGAGCTTCCTGCTCCTGTTCCTCCCGTAGCCTGGCGCATTCCTCGCTTGCAAGCCACTCCTGTTCCGTAGGCGTCGGTAGCCCCAGCAGCTCTGCCCTCTGACAGGCGTACAAATAACCCTGTGACGGCGCATCGCCGCTAGCGTTCCCCTTGTCTTCCATGGTCGCTGCGTTTCCTCGCCGTCAAACTGTCAGCGGCCACCAATTCGAAGCCGCGAGTGCTCGCTGTCGCTCGGCCTGTCGCTCACAGTCGATTCATACTTGCGACGCGTGTGCAACAGCCGCTGTGTACCACCAGTGTTGGCGTTGCTCGCGGCGCGCAGTTTTTTTCACGACTGCCTGCCCCGACGAGCTTGCGCTTTGTGCTGCGCTCGCAAGGGCCAACTTGAGGGCAGAGCGCTGCCTGCCTGCACGGAATCCATATTGGGGTGACAGTGTGCGCAGGCTCGACGCCGACATCGATATAGCCTCCTTTTTTCCTCGAGCAGCCCCTCAACGCAGACCATTTTTGAGCTTTCTCTCTCACGCTTCACTTCGATTCGTTCGTTAACTACCTCTGCTACACGTAAGTGTTATGCGAATTGTTCCTGTTCGAGTATCTGCGCGATGTGTCTTTCCAGCACTGTACACAACTGCCTCCGTGTCGATGATGTCGATTACGTTTGAATTTGCGAAAGTCATTTTTTTCAACTTCATAACATGTTTTGAACAAGATTTGAAACACATTCAACATCCGTTTCAATGAATTTTTATCGCAAAGTAATTGAAATCAAACTTAATGGCCTACTCTTTTAAATATAAATAGATATATTTAATGCCACAAATATGCCTGACAGTTCACAAAATTTAATTTACTTTTGTTTTATTCCTTTTATTCATTAGAAAGTTTGAGAAATAAACGCGCACTGAAAGTTAAGAAGCGTCATGTTCAAGCAACACTAAATCTATACCTCACTGTACGTGGTAGACGAGTTTTTCACGTCACGTGTGCTAGCACGTGCAAGTAAGCTCGCGTGAAGGGAAGCTTTCGCACTTATAACGAACGGAAAATGGGGCAGCAAGTGCACTGGTACGAGAAGAAGCATCAACCTTTCCGGTAGTCTCGTTTTCTCACAAGCGGTCGTTATATCGACAAGACAAATCACATACACCTATGCTCCTATGGTGCTGCTGCCACATTGACTTACCCTTCGAAAAAAGAATGAGAGAGAAAATGAAAGTGCTCGCACGGTAAGAAAAACCGAGCGGGAAATTACGTTAAGGGGGTCAGGGTGAAACTGACTGTTTTAAAGACTAAGAGTAAAGGGAAAAAGACGCGCGAATACTAAAGCTTTTATGAGGATTGATTGCAGGCGTAATGAAAAAATATCACTGAAATATTGAAGGTTCTCGATGTTCACGGACGATATTAAACTCTGATTGATGACAAAATAAACGGTTTATACGATTTTGTACATTTCATGTATGAAACGGAAAATGTATCCATTTAATGCTATTGCTATTGCAATTTTTCAGCGTTTACCCCATTTTACGTAAGTATTAGAAAGCAGTGCACTTTAAACTTTATCGGATTATAGTAATCGTACAGATCACTTATACTGTTCTTTTCCGCTCACAGCGTTATACTAATGCGATGCACTACTTAGTCCACGTGTGCGAATGGTTTCATTGACGCGAGATAGAAGTACTTGCATTGAAAGCTCCCCAGTTCGTTCGCTTTTATACAATTGATATCACAAATAACACGGAAGCAACTCGAATTTCGAATCAACTTGTGACTATCGAATAAATCACAATTAAGCCGTTATTTAGCAGTCGGCAGTATCAATCAACGGCTGTTAATTTTAACAAACACCAATCTTCTTGCTACTGAATTCAATATTCTCTCTTGCTCTGATATATTTACAAAGTCAATGCAGACAAATCAATATTTTTTATAGGACATTTTATGGAAACGTGCAACTACCGTCTCACGATAGAAATGTTACGCGTTCGGAAGTTACATTCGTTTGATTAAGTTTATCGATTCAATAGTGTATTGTTTATATTCGTTTGCACGTCGAGTATTTGAACAAATTTATTATTTTTAGAAACGAAAATTATAAACTAAGATCAAATAATGGTTTAACTGCTATTGTCTCGGCGTTTGCACAATAACATGAACCTTAAATCGATGTGGGATGGTGTCAATTTATTCGTTGGATTCAGTAACAGTATAGTTCGAGTTTTTAACTCAGGTATAAGTTTAAGTTCTTTATAATTATTTTCACAAAATTACAAAACATATTCAAAAAATAAATATTTTATTGTATAATTTAAACAAGATAAGACCCTATGATTATCTTTTGTATACCAAAACTTATAATATGATGTTATTTTAAATAAAAAAGCTTCCATATTAATAGTGAATGGCATATTACCAACAACTTATTTTACTTAAAAAACTAATAACAATGGAATGAATACAATTTAATCATTAACGTGTCGATATTAATTGTTAATATTACTGTTAACAAGATCGTAAGCAATTAAAAAATTCATTCATTCATCTATATCATAACCCCAGTCTTGTTTTACCATATCAGCTAATTTTTCTCCTATCATTATCACTGGTACGTTTGGATGCCCTGTTATTATCATTGGCATTATCGAAGCATCTGCAACACGTAATCCTTGAATGCCTTTGACCTAAAAACAATAACATAGGTCAAATATGTATTCAAAAGTCTTATTATTCATACAAATCAAGTAAATATTTTATATACACAAATAAAAAATTTACATGTAATCTAGGATTCACGACCCCGCTTGGATCATCTTCGGGAGCCATTTTACAAGTTCCTGAATAATGATAAATATTGAATGTGAAAGTTCTTAAACAACATTCCCAATATTGGTTGGAATCATATTCATAATCTTCACATCCCGGTACCAGAAAATCATAAAACTGCGAATTAAATCTACGCATAGCCTTCGTTTTGCTAATTTCGATGGCGGCTCTAATGCCTTCGATCAGAATTCTAACATCTTCTGAGTCACTCAAATAATTAGCATAAATTCGTGGCTTAGACCTTGGATCTCGATTACGAAGCAAAATCCTACCTCTACTTTTGGGTCTCATTAGAATAGGAAAAATAGACCAGGAGTCGTGACCAGCAACTCGAGCAAACATTTTATCCCAGTATTCTTGCGATATTCCAACGTTTTTGTGAAAAGATGGATCAGAAATAACGGAAGCACCGATGAATAATAATTCCATGTTAGGAAAAGAAACGACAGATTTTGTATTATCAACATCTATGAATGCTAAAGCTTCACAACCTCCAGGTATTGTGTATGGTCCTGATCTTCTAGTCAAATAATCTCTCAAGTATGGCTTAACAGGATCTAATAGATTTTTCATATTAAGACTAACAGGATAATCAACCAAAAATGCTAAACCACCATAGGCAATGTGATCCATCATATTATCGCCCACAGGCGCATCTTGGATGATCGGTATGTTCATTTCTTTCAAATGCTGAGCTGGCCCGACACCCGATAGCATTAAAATTTGAGCGGAACCGATTGCGCCAGCGCACAAAATAATTTCTCTTCTTGCTTGGACTTCAAATAGCAGACCCAATTTTGAAAACTCTACACCGTAAGCTCTTTTAGTGTGCGGATTGATCAGAACTTTATTCACGTGGCTAAATGCTGAAACGTGTAAATTTTTACGATGATTCGCTGGATTCAAATAAGCTCTATTAGTACTCATTCTTGTTCCATTTTTAATAGTAGCTTGAATGTAAGAATATCCAAAATCTTGTTTAGCGTTGTAATCTATAATAGGATATCCCATTTCGAGTCCTGCTTCGAGGAAACTCTCGGCCAGCGGTGTATGATAGGGTGGATATTCGATGTGAACCGGACCACCCATATTGTGCATTTCTCTATCGTACTTGAAGTCCTTTATACCCATATTTTCGAGTTTTTTGAAATATTTCAATACTTCGTCATACGACCAACCTTCATTTCCCATTGCAGCCCAATTGTCATAGTCTAAACGATTACCTCGAGTCGCTATCATGAAGTTAAGAACACTGCTTCCTCCCATCACCTTGCCTCTAGGATAAACGCACTGATGATTCGTCATTCCTTGGCAGTAAAATCTTGATTTTTCTGTTTTGTATCCCCAATTGATCTGATTATTGAATTGAAGATGATTCACAAGTATAGGTATGTCCATTAAAAGGTTTTCATATGGCCCGGCTTCGATCAAAAGAACAGTCGCATCTTTCATTTCACTGAGCCTACTAGCCACTGTTGCTCCAGCAGTGCCAGCTCCAACGACAATGTAATCATATATTTGATTGTGCCTTGGTATCGTATCTTTTAATCGACTCTCTACAAACCGATGATTTTCTTCAAAAAAATATTTGAATCCTTGAGATAGTATTTGCAAAGCATCAGCCACGGTAGTGTTGTCGTCAACATATCCATACAGGTTACGATAAACTAAACCACTTTGTCTATAACACTGACTTCCAATAACAAAAATTAAAATATAAGCTAGCGTTGAAAGTGATCGATTGGTATCCATGATATACCGTAAATTAATTGTAGTTTGAAATAATTTTTAACTGTCATGCAATCCCATCACAAGGTTAAATAGATCTGATTTTCATTATACGGACACTTCATTACACGGCTAAAAACTGTTATTTAAAAACACCAAAATAACGATCGGTATATTTTATAATTATTTCGTTAAAATAGTTTTGAAATAAATTACAGAATTTTGTATTTAAGTTTTAAGAGAATTACTTGTTTCAATATGAATGACTGCGAAATCAATTACCGGTCCGTCGTTTCGTACAGACCGAATTGAGGCTTCTGCCATTCATGAACACTTCATTGTCAGAGAAAAGTGCGTGTGCTGACTCGATAAAAACGATGCTATACTTTAAAAAATTTCGTAAGCAATGATGGCTCACCTGATTAAAACTCGCACAATGTGTAAAAAGTATTTCGAAGTTATATACGCAATATACGTAAAGTAGTTCGTTGTTGCGTAAATATTTTATTAATTTGTCAAACAAAACTATATAGTATATTCTTAATTCAGACTTTGACATCAAATATCAACTAAAATAGATTGGTAATAAATTAAATTTCGCATTTTCAACTTACAGAATTAAAGTCGCGTCTGAATGTGTGTAACAATAAAGAATTATTCAGAGCTCATCAAGTTGTCTAGAAAATGAATTTCAAAGAAGAACAAATATTTTTAGAATACTTACATTTCCACGCGTAAGTTTTAAGTACTCTTAAAATTCATTGTGAGTTATACAAATTATCAGTTAAATCAATAACCCATCAAAACTGATATGTCCATTCATGTATTCAAAGCTATAAAAAATCGTAGATAATATTAATCTGAATAAATTTTCACGATCTAGAAACGACTATGCGAAAGCACACACCATTCCTAACGTCTCGTCGTTGGATTGTTTGATGGTTTTGGATATTTTCTTTCTTTTCATTTTAGTGCTGCTCAATTGCTCTTTGTCGGTCGTGAAAAGTTGAAGGCTGGAACTTTTTATGACTCTTTGCATTTTACGTCGCTTTATTCCACTAATTTTTTTATCTTACATGCAAAGAATGAAGTAGAAAGATTTTTTAACTATGTATTTGTAAGATTTAAAATGTGTATTATTCTTTTCCTAATATATGTATAAAAAACTCAGAGCTTTAAGCTTTTATTTAATTTCCAAAAAAAACAATTTCAATAAGAAGGTTAATTACAGTCATATTTCGTAAGAACAAACATAATAATTGCTTAGAAAAATCTGAATCTACTTTGAATAATTATTTGGAATAATAATAATAATAAAATATCGCAAATCTAAAGCTTATGTGACGCTATTATAAAAAAGTATTAATTCAGCGTTTTCTAGAATGAATCTGAAAATCTGGAAGACATAAAAGCTATTTAAAGTTCGATAGTGAAATGACAGATTTATTTTAGTACCCGAATTAACATTGGCAGTCATAGTAACGATGAAGTATGACAGGTGCAGATGAAAGCTACAAAGTTAAGCCATTATAATATAATTTCAATTATCTTTAACGACTATGATTAAAAAAGTTGTATAATGCTATTTTCTCGTTATTATTTATTGTTTATTCAACTATGATTTTTTTTAATTTTTACTTATTGATTTTTTATAAAAGTTCTCAGAGATTTCAATGAAAAAATATATTTCTTGAGATAAATGGATTCTTCAACATTTATATGTTTTTATTAAGCGTTTATAGTTATTCGGTAAAAAAAGTAAATTATAAACGACTTTTTCACTCGCGGCAATAATTATTTACTCCCTACCCGTGGATAATAGATGTTTTTTCGTGTAAGATCGCATTAATTATCTGATCAAAGTGTGATGCACTGAGTACATCTCGAAAAGATCCGTAAGTTTTCGCGACATCTATTACAGGCTTGCAGCTGCAAGAGCAATAAATTATCGCAAGATGTCTAGAGTAATACATCGTCTTATCCGTATGTAAGTCGAGAATTCACGAGATCACCAAGTTAAACAAAACAAATCCCAGTCGATTACACGATGCCCTCACTATGCAAACTCGTGGCATTTGAACTCAAGCCGTTTCAAGTCACTATTTAACTAACACATTTAATGCCCGTTTTCAATGTCTACATGTGAAATATTTGAGTTTGATCGCCTTGTTATGATGCTCTCTCGTAGCAGCCGCCTAAACAATGAACACGGCTGATAAGCACTTGATACGCTTAAAGTTGCCTCGAGCTTTAATTTTCAAGTTATTTGAAGAATGTCGTAAGTGTAATGAAGGAGACCTCGCGAATGACTTCTCGCGTGAGGTTATTTGCCTTTACGCGAGCCAGAGAAAATTTTTTTCCAGAGAAAAAAAAGGAGACTGCTGATAAGCGATCACCTGAAATAATTTTTTTCATAACTGCGAAACACGTATGTCCCAAAGTAAATCCCACTTTTTAAGCTTCCCACATCAGATCCCACAACAGATGATTAATTAATTTTTATAAATTTGTTTTATCGAGCTTTTTAAAGATTTACTTCAGACGAGGACACTGTGAATTCCAGTGCAAGGATTTATGATGAACTCTGTGCAAATTGAACTTGGTATTAATATAATAAATCTTTAAAATATTAAAACGAATTATCCTTTTGAATGGACTACATTTGGACATATGCGCAACCACTTTGAAAATTATCTGACTGATTAAAGGATAAAAGCTTAAGTACCCCAGTTTCCTTAAGAGGATGTCTCGTATGTTTTTCGCACTTAATTTTTATAGCTATTAATCTGTTCACGGGAAGACCTCGCGTCACGAAATCTTTAAATTTCTTACGTTCCCAGGAGGCTACCTGCCTTTGCCTTTCTCAGTTCGTTGACGAGAGGAAAAAAAAAGATATTGAAAATAAACGCTCGGTGTAATTACAGGGCGGAGCGGAAGAATGCGCTTGGAGTCCTTTGAACCGCGCGAGGCCTTGAACGATTTTTTCAATGTTAAACCACAAGGCTTTGAAAAATGGAATGGCACGTTCTGTGATTTTTTGATAAGAGCGGGTAGTATAATGTTTGCACATTATCGAGGTGAAAAAGCCACGGCACGGTTATTCACTTGAGGCATTGTGGGTGACGGTCGCACGCCAGACTGACCGTGTTTATTACTCACTTATCACTCTTCGTGCAGGTAAATTCCTCACGACTTCTTCATATCAGTTACCCTGCATTGGAAAACAAATTTATGAGGCTTCTCACTCTCTCCCTCTCGACACTTTCAATTTTTCTTCGACAAAGTCATAATAGTTTTATCTTTTTTCTTTGAATAACAATCAAACAAATGAACACTTGAACAACAAAAAATATAAGTAGGTTTTTTTTTAAATTGGGTCAAGATCAATGCAGGATATATGGATACTTATTTAATTGCGGCTGTTTATCAAAATGTCATTAAACAATACTGGGTACAATTTATAGATAGCAACAATACACATTGAATATCGAGCGTTGTAAAACTTTGTGATATCTGAATAATTGAAACGATGCCTCGACCCTTATACTGAAAAAATTTTACGTCGGTAATTCTTTTAAAACTCTGAATAAAGTATATTCACATTTTTATATCACTTAATACTGTGAAATCACATAAAATATTAATTTCATTATTTTCTTTTTCATTAGCGAATATTCTTTCTCGAGCTCTCAGATACCTTTCTTTGGTATACGTACTTGAAAAATGAAACATTGAGTCAGACTTCTTAGTCGAGCTATCTAGACTGATATTGTAAAGATAAGATACAGCTAGAATCTTGTGTTCATTGCTAAATCCATTAACATACAAATCAAAAATATTGTTTGATTTTAATTACATATATTAATTTAGCTCAATAATTTGCTGTTGAACGATAACCGATTGATTGGGTGTTAGTAAAGCAGCACTTTATATCTACGACATATGTTTCTAAAAATATCTTGAAACAAATGTAATGAAAAAATGTGCTATTACTTATTAATAAATGAGAAGATACTCTTTTGAAGTAAAAACAGGAATTAATCATGAATATAAGTGGGTCTAAAATCTTGTCATTAACGATAACAATATCAGTAAACAGTTCACTCTTGCCACAAGCAATACAATGTCGCAGACAGAAAGGCATAGAATATCTCACGCTTTAAAATTATAACTTTGAAATGTTAGATTTTTATTAAATAACTAGCAGGAAGTTGAAACTAAGAGAAGAACGGGAATACCCATGTCAAAATGTAAAAATATTACAATAAATTTTATTGCATCGAAGCATAAAAGGGCGTAATCATTGAATAGCTTGCGTGATTACATTTCGCATTATATGCACGTAAAAGTCTTCCTCCTCAAGTTAATGATTAGAGCAAATAATTTATGATTGAAAATTATAAGCACACACACGCGTGGTGCGCAAAACGTTCGCCGACTCGTGGCTGCGTATTTTTAGATCGAGCTCGCTTATGATTATCGTCGTCGTGGCGCGCGCCTGATCTATTTGCACTGCAATAATGCCGAACATCTGTGCCGCCGCTCGCATTTACTGGCGGCGTAATGCAAGCGAAAAGTCATTTTCCAGATGTTGAGAGAGTCGTACATTCACGCGTATTAGACGGGTGATCAAGATTCTCTGACGGAAGCGGAGACAATCACAGTCGTCCGACGTCATACTCACGTTGAATTACGGAAGTTTTTTGTGCATGTGGTGGCAGATTGTTCCTCCACGACCGATCGCGTTCATTTTTGCCCAAAATGTGGACAAGTTGAAAATACGAGAGGAGTACAGTTGCTAAAGACACTCTTATGTTAATCGTTTAAATTCATGCCTTGTTTTCTTCCAATCGAAGTGTAAAAAAATGCAGTCTTCGTATGTTTTGAACTTTCGTCAAAAACGTTGAATTTTCCCCAAACTAACCGAGAAATATAGCAGCGCATGAGTTTGAGTTAACGCAAACTTGTAATGATATTATTAATAAAAGAATTATTAATTTGAAGAAAGTTATTTTTCTTACTAT